GTATTCAGCTATCGACTTGAGCTACTCTCAAAGCTGAGTTTTATAAGTAATTGTTCAGGTCACATGTTGTGACATCATAAAGGGTGGCTACAAAAAAACTATAGTATTAAAACCAATAAAGGAGAAGACAAATCGCATCAAAAACAACACATGAATCATTATACTTTCAAGGATGACAGAATCTTAACAAATATAAACCTATAATCGGGAGTGAGGAGAAAACCAAAAATATCAATCGATAAATACATTGTTGTTTACAAGCATGACTCCTTGAAGATGGGCCGAAATGAAATTTTGAACATTGCTTAATATTTTGCTTGGCGAATTTCACTAAATAAATGTTACATTATGACAAAATATCAGTTCTGAAATATCTTTCAGTTAAAATTGTTAGAATTATTGATATTAGTTAAATGTTGAAATTGGATATGCAGGTGTACACTCGTCACCTGAAAGGTACTCTGCGGTCGTATAGGGCTAGTGAAAAGGTGAGGGTGACGATTAAGTAGAGAAATGATGAAGAAGAGTGGTTTGATTAAATACAGAAGCATTTAAAAGCTAAGACATTTACAATTTGGGACAATAGCTTATCTTTAGGTAGTTTAGAATAACAGTTTAATAGATTTACCGTAAGAAATAACAGTTTATTTTGAGGAGCTAACAAAACAATGGCTGATCTAGTGAGTAAAGTAAGAGAAAGAGTCAAGAACAATAGTTCATATTTACACTTAAGAATGATGGTGTAATCAAAGTGTTCAGTGTTCCAGCTAACGGTACATTCATTTACACTTAAGAATGATGGTGTAATCAAAGTTTTCAGTGTTCCAGCTAACGGTACATTCATTTACACTTAAGAATGATGATGTAATCAAAGTTTTCAGTGTTCCAGCTAACGGTACATTTATTTACACTTAAGAATGATGATGTAATCAAAGTTTTCAGTGTTCCAGCTAACGGTACATTTATTTACACTTAAGAATGATGATGTAATCAAAGTTTTCAGTGTTCCAGCTAACGGTACATTTATTTACACTTAAGAATGATGATGTAATCAAAGTTTTCAGTGTTCCAGCTAACAGTACATTCATTTACACTTAAGAATGATGGTGTAATCAAAGTTTTCAGTGTTCCAGCTAACGGTACATTCATTTACACTTAAGAATGATGAT